AAGAAAGCCTGTTTGATGTGACAAAGAGACATCAGTCTCCAGCTGGGACATTAAGTGCTGTGCAACCCATTTTTGAATTCAGGCCTCTATCTGTGAATTGTTCCCATCCTGTGTTGACATTATCACTTTACCCCCTTTTTAGGACTTGTGCGCAAGTTTTTGTTTTGAAGATCTCAAACAATAAACCAAAGCAATGAAACGGCAGACATCAAATTGCACTTGCATTAAGAGAAAACCCACAGAGATGAATGCAGGCAGCTCATTCAGCTGATGGCATGTTGCTCTCATTCTGCTAACCTATGTAAATTGAGCACAACTCTTCATGGGTGGCTCAACAAAACACAGACTAATCACTTTGGTCAACACTGTGGGGGTTTTCATCAGAGAAGCCCACACTGTGAACAAACAACGCCTGCTACCTGGCCGCGAGTTTGTATTTAAGTAAGGGATGGGAGAAACCGAGAGGAACAAACAACGTCCTCTGTGATCTATTCTTGTGTCATTAACGATGCTAATCCATTCGCGCCATTTAATCTTTCAAAGGAACTCCATCAGCGCTGGGGCATTCAGCGTACGGTGCTGTTAGGAGAAATTCTGACCAATTAGTAGGAAATCAGGAGAGAGTAAATAAGAGAGAAATGAAAAAGGAGGATATCTTCACAGGATGACAGCTTAAGAAAAGTCACGGTCATCTTGTCTTGCAACATTCATCTGCAATCTCTTAGTTTTTTTTAAATATTTCAAAATCAAATAATTGATCACTTTAATATCTCTTTTTTCAAATGTTAATGTCAACAGCTTCGAGTATTAAGTGCTGCATTTTTATGAAAAACAATTAACTCCTGCAAATAAGAGCCTCCTGTCATTTTGAGAAACTAAAGAGCATAAGCTAGCATCTTAATCCAAAAAGAAAACATGGCAGGGGTGCGGTAAAATACTAGCTATGGGGAGCAGTTGTGGAAGACGTTAGAAAGACGTCTAGGAAGACGGTTAAACTGCTCTCCATGTAACATGAACACCAGGTGCGAAAGATCTACATCTAAATTTCCCCTAATGATTTTTAATGAAACAATCCAGGTCAGCTGTGCATCATCTAACATCCCAAGGCACCCCACCCAGCGATCTATTTGGAGCTGATTTAGGATAAATCTTCCACAGCTGATGTGTTCTGTCTACTGCAAGACCCAACCACTATGTGCTGAAAGGTCTAAAAATGTGAATTTTTGTGCTTTGGCTCTTAGTTTGTTCAACTAAATGTAACAAAATCTTTTATATATATATATATATATATATATATATATATATATGTATATATATATATATATATATATATATATATATACGATGTTTCTTCATCAAGGTTCAACAGCTGAAAGGATTGCAATTTCCCTTCAAAACATGTATATTCCAATAGCTCCAGGTCTATTCTATCCTTAGCCAATTTGTACCCACCTGTTCTCATTTAATTTGCTGCTACAACAATTTAATTCTAACTGCATACCAAACAAACACCCATGGCCTATATACCCAGCTTATAAAGAGAGAGTGTAAAAACTTTTACATTTTACATACATTAAATATTTCTATTTGTTTGACTCATACTAGCGCATGTTCTTACAGCAGACAATAAATAAAAATAGGAAAAAAACACAATTTGTCAGCTGTCAAAATAGCAGTTAAAATATTTGGGAGCAGGGGTTAGAGGGATTTTTTGTGGTTTTTATATAAAAATGATAAATATGTCGTTTATTTTTTGTTTTGATTAAAACAACCTGTAGGTATTTTCATTCAAACCCAAGCTCAATATCATGTGGCAAGATTAATACATAAAGACTGAGCCAATTGAGATTTACGTCTGGCCCCTTAAATATGACATTTTATTTTAATATATAAAAGGCAGTTTGGTGTGTGGCTTATGTCTGTTTCAAAACATTGATTAGCCTTCACCAATATTAGGTGTATCCCTATTTGATATATGTGTAAAACCTTTAGTAGACCTCTAAGCTGTGGCCCATTTCTCCTAATAACTGCTCTTCTGATGTAAGCTCTGATCTCTTTTCACCTCTTTAACACATGGTGCAGAAATGGTGTGCATCGACCCAGATTCTGCAGAATGAACGAGTTGGGATATTAGGTTTGCAACAAAAAGCAGATGTAAAAGCTATTGTGGATTTCTAATGGCTGAGGTGCATCTGAAGGCTACCAATCTCTGCTAAAATGGTTAAAATGAGCGACATCCATAAGCATCCATCCAGCTTCTTCCGCTTATCCGGGATCCATAAGCAGACCTCATTTATTTATCCTAGAACTTGGAGGGGGCAACATGTGAACATGATGTAATATTGAAAGTTTTTTATGTATATATATATAGGATACAAAGATTGGGTTCAACTTTGCTCAAACACCACAATTTATGTCAAAGAAATTAGAAGTTTCCCGTCGATGAACAAAACAGGGTTTTGATTAACTCCAGCCTCTTTAAATCCGTCAGCCAATCTTAAATTACCTCAATTGTGGCTTTCAAAAATCGCGGCACAAGCCATAAACCATGTCGACAGGTAAAGTAGTTGCTCGGTTACCCATTCAAAAGACGTGCAACACACATTAGCATTCTTTAGGAGGGGGGCCTTTTGTCTAGCTGACAAATTAGAACACGATGCCATGTCCACTTTTATGTTCTGTTTGGTCTCCGGCAGCATCAGGGGAAATCTTTCCATTTCCCACCATCTTGTACTTCCTAACTTTATCTAAGCTGTGGCGGTGCTGAGAAGGGATAAAGAACTTCTGGCCAGTACTAAAGCAAGCAGATAAAAGTGGACTCAAACAACCAAAGAAAAGAGGGAAAACAAATTAGTTTGTCCTCATTTTTCATGACAAACACTACAGGTATTAGATTGTTTATGAGTCAATTATGTTTTTTTTTCTTATATCTTCAGTTTTAGATCATAACATCTCTTATTTTCAATTTTACCTACAAGCTGCAATATAGTTATAAATATTTAATTTTCTAGACCAAGGCAAAGTAAAACTATTATATTGAATACAAAATCTAAAGATAAGTTTTCAAACATTTTACACATCTTTTAAAAGTTGCTTGCGTACAAATATGAGTTCCACCTAAATCCATACAGCCTAGAACCACCCTCCATGGTGGTTAAAGTTTTAAGTTAGAGTTAATCTCTACTGGATTTTGCACATTTGACATCCTTCCGTTTTTGGTCACCCTTTTTTTAAAAGGCTGGTTTTGATGAACCTCACCAACAGGTTTTCATTAATGATTATTTCTGCTTTTAAACCCTATTTATCTCTCCAACATCTTCATCCAGTTTCAAGTCTAAACTGTAGAATTCCAACAGCATAATGCAGCCACTACTATGTTTCAGCATGCTGTGTTCAGGGTTATGAGCTGCATTACTTCTCCCATCACATACTTGCAAATATTTTGCATGAAGGGAAGAAAAATAGCTATAGATTTGTATAAGCAGAGCACCTTATTCCACATGTATGCTGTATGCTGTAACTTACCACAAACTACTGACATGACTCCCTTTAGCTTCCTTCAACAACAGCTTCTTGTACCTCTCTTACTTAAAATCAAATTTAACTGCAGATTCAGAGTACAGGACTCTTAGCTCTGTGTTTTAATTACCGTAATTTTCAGACTATAAGCCTCACCTGAATATAAGCCGCAGAAGCTAAATTGCATGATTTGTACATATACAAGCCGCACCGGACTATAAGCCGCAGGTTTTTTATGTTTAATTACCATATGGTTCGTGCACAGAGAGGATTGTCTGGAAAGAGGCAACTGTTTGTGGAAGCTCCTATTTATTAACGTTTAAACACAATTGAATTGAGACAATTCTTCCTGCTGGCGTCTCCAACGTCTCGCCATTGACTCGTTGATTCCAAGGTTACGTGCAGTGGTTCTATTTCCTTCGTTTACTGCCAAATTGGCTGCCTTAAACTTAAAAGCTGCATCATATGCATTTCAACGTTTGTTTTCCATAATGAGGGTGTCACACAAACTGCCTTGCGCTCGCAATGTCCGTCTTTCTCAGAGTCTGCTTCCGGAGGACGTCCTCATTCCCGCGCGCGCGGCTACTTGTGTGTTGAAGCAAATGTGACGTCAACATGGTGGATAGTAAAATCCATAGATTAAGGTACCGTATTACCCTAGTGGCCGTTAGCTGTAAAAGTCCATAGATAAGCCGCATTGTTATATCGAGGCTTATAGTCCGAAAATTACGGTAGGTGAATTGGATGAGTTGGATTAGACTATATCAAAGGGTTTCAGGATAAGACACATGCCTGCCACACTTTTCAGACTTTCTTAGGAAAAAAATAAGTAATTTAAACTATTTTATTCTTAAATCAGTCTTGGTCAAACATGCTGGTGAAGGTTCTCGGTCATCCAGGTCATAGCTATTCTAAAAAAGTTAAAAAACAATCCAGTTCTACAAAGCAACGATAGAGTTGATCCCTTCCTGCTATCATCACAACCTCCACCCCCATACAGGGGACCAGAACATCCCATCTGTTCACAGCCAGGCCAACAAATTCCCCTAACAACCCCCCCATTTGACAGGTATATACCAGTATCGGATATTGCAGGCTAACAAAGAACCCAAATGACTCCCCGTTCCTAAGGGGTGGACTCGTTCTTCCTGTTCAATTTGCATGTTTTCTAAGCCAAAACAAGGTTTTTCGTTTATCTATAAAGCCTTGAACTCAACTCTAATTCTCACATTTTGAATTGAAAAAGCTTCCTGAATGGGAGCGAAATTTCTTTAAACTTGGAAACAGAGTCCAGTGAATTGTTTTTTAACTTTTTTGGAAAGTCTTGCTGAAAATAAAGTCCCAATAAAACAAATAAGGCTTTTGGTTTTTTGATGAGAAAATGTGAAAATATTCCAGATGAAGGAAATGTTAAAACATGCATAATTTTAACAAGGAAACTTTTGTGTCGAACACTTCCGATCTAAATTTAAGTGTCTTACCTGAACAGGTAGTCTCTGTCTCTGTAGCGGCAACCAAAGAACAGCCAGGTTTCACCAAACTGGGCCTCGGGCTTTTCCTTCCTCTCCTCCTGTCTGAAAGTCAGACATAGGATGTTAGCCGTCAATCAATACAAGCAGACAAGCGGACCAGGTGGAGGAGAGCGAGTCCTTCCTCGCAGCAGAGGGTAAAGAAGACGAGTGGCATAATTACAAACTGGCTGTAGTGACAGCAAAATGAGAGCCACGATTGCTTAAAGCGAGGAAATGACCATGTGCGCAGAAACAAGGACATTATAGAGCACTCCTGATTAGATTTCATCCAGCAAAATAAATGTCTGCTCAGGATGCATCATCCATGTCTTTTTGTCCAGCCGTCCTTTAGTGGGGGGAAAAAAAAACTGTCCTCAAAAAGTGTTTCCTTCTGTGGCTTTGGAGCTTGGCTACCCTCCCAAATTCCCCTGTAGGCCCCACAGCGCCACAAAGCAGCTATGAAGATGCGGTTATCTGTGCTACACACCTGCTGCTGTGGTGACAGCTCTCTCCCAGATAACTGTTAACCCAGAATCTTTCATGATGCGATTAGCTGGCTGAAAGTCCACAGAACTTGGCTTCTTGCGTTGCCCTTTTGGTGGAGACAGAGGCGGGTGGATGAAATGACCATCTATAAAGATTGGCTGGGCCTGTTTCCATTCACTGCTACATCACTTTGCCTGATATTTATTTGATATTATACACAAGGTGAACCTATTCTCCTTCCCTGCTTTTCACCCAACTAAATCTGATCACTCCATGCAGTTAGACACATTTTTCAAACTATCCGGTGATTCTACAAAGCAAAACATCATTGAAAATCATGCTAATTTCTAATCCAACTATCTTATTTTAGTTGGTATGATCACGATCAAAATAGGGGGCTTTATCTCAAAATGAACTATTTAGTCAGACAGTTTAAATCCGATGATAAAAAAAGTTAAAATGAACAAAATATGAATCCTTTTTGTGCAATTTGGGTTCTGGATATATAAATATATTATTTTCCGATTTCTGACAGATTCTAAGAAAGAAAACATCCATCAACTACATATTTTTTAGAGGAATAAACTGTGTCTCACTTTACTGACCATTTGTCAAAGTTAGACATATTAGCCGTAAGTAAAAAGAGAGAAAAAAAACACAAGTATGATTGTGAATACTGAAGCAAACGCATTGCTCCTATTAATTAAACCCAAATGGAACTAGATGAATTAAAGTCCTTTTGTTTGAAGTATATTTTGATGCACAAGGACCTTGTTGTAAAGCTGTCTGGCCAAGTCGATCGGCACGCTCAGTTCCCATCCATTAGCATCCTGGACGAGATTCTTCTGCTCTGCCAACGGCCTCAAGTAAACTCATTTCAGTGGGCTCCTTGCTCTCTCTCTCCCTCTCCTCCCGCCGCCCGCCCTAAAGGGATCAATACCAATATGAAAAACCTGGGTTCCATTCTGAGTAGACCACACCGGCGCCTTTTCCTGAATACAAATCACATCACATCACATACCCCCGCTATAACAGCCTGCAATACGATCTCAAGGGGAAAGGCGGCATCCGCGGAGCACTCCATTTGGGGTCTAAATCAGAAGCGCCTGCCTTTCAGCCCCATTCAGATGATCAGTAGAAAGAGGGGGGGAGTGTATGAAGGAAGCTGAGGTTAAAACCTGGTAAACATCAGTCATTTCATATCTTTCTTTATCTTTTTCAGCTCAATGAGGGAAGATCTGGAATGGCAGTTTTCATTTCAAAAACAAACAAAGCCGCCAAATATTTCATCAAACTGGGAGAATCTACACCCCCTAATTACACCAATACACCGTTTCTACAGAATGATTAATGGTAGATAAATATCTGCAAATATAAACTGTCAAGCTGAATTTGTAAAAGTGAGCTGCTGGCAGGTGTACTCTTGTATTACTCTTATCTGATACTTTGTCTTTCCAAAGATGAGGCCTTTAAGAAGATTAAAGCTTAATTTCTGTTTTAAAGTTTAGCTGTTGTTAAGAGTGAAGCAGAAATATTGAAAACAATCATATTTACCATTAAAACAACAAAGCAAAAGCAATCAATGCAAGACAACTGGGAGGGGAGGGCTCACTGTAATCTCCTGGTACCACCGAGTGAGCTCCTGACCTTTCCACGCTCTCCTCTCACTTGTTACCACTGTTCTAAACTCGTACAAAGTACTTTTGAAAACGGCAATCGATTAACAGTGGGAGCAGAAAAAAGGAGAGGCAGGGAGATCGAAGCGTTCCTGTGTTGTTTTGTTGCCAAACGGGAACCTGCCTCATGCCTCGAGGCCAGATACGGCGTCCTGCAGACAAACCAGCAATTGTTATCTCCTGTCAGAGCGTGAAGGCGGCTGGCCAAGCTAGGGTCAGACGCTGCGACAATGCAGCTCCATGACAGGTTCATATAATCCTCCTGGACCATCCGGGAGGAGAAGAGAAAAAGAGACGGCAGAGGAAGAGAAGGATAGTGGAGCTGATAAATCGATGTGCAGGGTTTTTGTTGTAACGTGTTTCTTGAAAGAAAAGAAGAAAGAAAAGAATCAATACAGAAATTTAATGAAAAGAAAAACTGATGTTTCAGGGAAGAATTTAATGAAGGTTTGTTCATTGTATTATGAAACAAAGCCCTCCACAAACAATAGATTCCTGAAAAATCCTGCTTTAATAAACCCCCCACATCGTATATATACCGTATTTATACCGTATTATAAGACTAGAAAACCGAAGAGCAGTGCTCTGCACAAAGTGTAGGGCCTGAAACATGTGCTGCCTACATTTCATCTCCATCCCAGTGGGTCCAGCACCACCTCACCCCAGATGACCAGTCATCCATTCTGAGCTTTCCTGCCACAGACAATCCATCAAACCGCGGCTTCGTCACCTCTATGAGCAATCTCACACCGAGGCAGACCTGCCACAACACAGCACACGTCGCTGGGTTTTAGAGACAATTGGAGCTGACTGGGGCGCAACCTCATTTACACAAAGCCACCCACGACTTAGACTTGTCAGCCTGCCTAAAGAAGATCGGGTCTGCTTTCTGACAGGTCACAGCGTCCGTGGTTAAACGCATGAAAATCAGCTTAGGTAGAGCGCTGTCAGTCACACGGTAGCTGCCTGACAGCCCATAATTTAGTGTTACAGTGAGAGTATTCATACTGCTTGGTAACTCTGGAGGAGCTGCTGTTGAAACAAGCAATTTGGAGTACACAGCAAATTAGGGCTGCAACCAATGATTATTTGGCTAATTGATTAATATATCAATTATTTGTTCAATTAATTGAACAAATAATTGCAATTTTTTTTTTTTTACTAAATTAAACCAGGGGAACCTAAAACTTTTCCACTAGAAGAGTTCTGAATAGAGCATATTTACAGACAAAAAAGTAATATATATATATATATATATATATATACATATTACTTAAATGAAAATATGTATATATTTTTTCACAATTTTGGTAGAATGGGTTCCAACTCCAAGTGGGTTGCTCTGTCAGCTAAAGACATGTTTGTTATAGTCTCTATACTATAAAGATTAATCGATTACTAAATTAGTTGAAGATTATTTCAATAATGGATTAATCCGATTAATTCTTTCAGCCCTACAGCAAACATTTGGCAAGAAGAGTAAAAACTCAATCTCAGCTGTACCGGATCCAAAGTAAAGTCCCAAAAGCTTTAAACTGTTACATAGTAAAACACGGAAGTGGCGGAATCATTCTCTGTCTCTCATATAAAAAAGAAAACACATTTTCTTTCACTTTTCGAATACGTATCATGTCCATCACACTTAATGCCAAGTTTGTGATTGCAGTTTCAGAAAATATAAATTAAATGAGGGGATATGAACCTTTTTTGCAAGCACAAAAAATTCTATTTCTAAATTAAGTTGATTTCCCCCATTCATCTTTCAGCCAAAGTCCCCTTTAGCACTTTTAAGTTCCTTCTTACATCCTACTTAGCCGACAGTAGATATCCTCACACCACCTCATCAGCAATTACAAGCAGTGATTTAAACCAATAACACAGCCAGCACCTTCTGGACTTTTTATTCTGGAATCAATAATAACCCACGTGAAGCTTTGAATCCTCGCTCTTTATTACGGAAGTCGTAAACATGCCCATCAGAGTGGGACTGATTTACTCCTGCTAGGAAGAGGACAGCATCTGAAATAATCCCTGACGTGCTCACAGCCCTCGCTGCTAGATTTACTACCCTTTACTTGATGAACATGATGTTGGACATTTATTAGCACAGAGCTGCGTCACAACTAATTGTCTCTGCAGGCTACCTAAAAATATGCAAGATGATGAGCATTTAACACCACTTTGGTGTCATGAATATTCATAAAAAGAATTTTAAACAGAACTGAGTACATGTCACTGTTTGCACTGCTTTGATTTGACATGAACATCTTAACCAACACACAACAGGAGTTCATTTTGTAACAAACAGCAGTGGCACTGGTGCGTTATGCAGCGCTATCGACGTGGACACTTTCAAAATAGATCTTAAATAGTTCTTTCTCTCCCAGTGGCAGGAAAGCCTAATTCTAATTCTAATTTGTTTATTTAAGAAGAATATAATTAGAAGCACTAACATTTAAATGGTCTAGTAAAGGGGAAAAAAAAATTCTATACACTTTCAAAGTTTTAATAATACTTAACATTTGCTGAAGGATATGGTTTGATTTTTTATTCACTTTTTATTAGGTTCAAGAAAGAAAACATAAATCTTAGTATTACAGGTTTCTACAGTCTTAAATTGGAAATAGAAAAACACTCACGATGTCTCTAAAAGTCAAGTTCGCTCTGGGTTTTTAATGAGACATTTAAAAGCATATTCATCTAGAGTGCGTGACCTAGCAACAAAAAGATTGATTAAATGTTTTGGGAACTTTTAAGTAGATTTTCTTTATTCTTTTCAGAGAAAAACACGGTGAAAAAGTATGTACCTTTTTTTTACCAAATCAGTTTCCAATATTTCTGTATAGATTAAGTTGACTTGAGATGAAAGCAAAAACCTAAGTAATCTACAAATTGAAAAAAATAATAATAATAATAATCAATCAACACACACATTAGCTCGTGCTATAGGGAATTGTTATTGAATAAATGAAGAAAATGATGTGCAAAAAGGCAGAGAAAACTAAGGAAGCGACTGAAATCTCCATTTAAAAATATCCCTGCTGCAGAAACAGACCCAAAACGGATCAGCCAATCACGATAAAGTATCAAGGTTCAATGAGGGATATACAGCTGTGATGAAAGCAACCACACTGAAGACAAAAAAATCATCGATACGTGTATCTCCGGCCGCCACATCCGTTTTGTTATAATCCACAATTTCATCTCTAAAAGGAGAAGTAGCAAAAGTCTACGAGCTTTTCTTGTGGTTTTACGCGGCACCTGCTGCTAGTTAATTTGTTCCTGTTATTGACTAAAACTAAGCTTTGTTAGGCGGGGACTAGGAGTTGCTTCAACCAGTCAGCTCAGAAGGTTCTGCTGAATCTTTCCTCCAAACCAGTAACTGCTGGTTTTATTAATCGATGGTCTATCATCACCAAACTATTACACCTTCTGCTACCTATGAAGTAACATCACCAAAAATATGATAATCACTAAAAGGTCAAGAATGGAAAACATTTGATGAAATCACAATGAGCCCAATATTTTTACCCTATAGTTGTACATGTTTTTTAAACTATGTATTTTCTAAGAAGCCATGATTTTTTAGGAACCAGAACTGACTACCTTAAATTTTACCTCAGTAGATAATTTACTCTTCCTGCACAATATTTCAGAAAAAACAGCATGAAGGAGAATATGTTGCCCTTTGTCTTTGTTCTGTTAGAGTTAACACAAAAACATCTCATTAACAACTCAAAAACATCTTTGACAAAGATTTTATGAAAGATGATTAATAGAAAAATAAAGAATAATAAGATAGGCAAAAAAAATACTTGACATCCATGACTGATGATCACTGAGGCAAAAGAGTTTTCAAGCATTTAACCTGGGTATATACTAAACCATATAAGTGAAGGAGGATCAATGATTTTAACAGGTTTCTGCTGCATCTTCTTGCTGCAAAGCAAAATACAGTTTTCACTCAGCTATTACAGCAGTCACACATTCATCCATCAATTGTTCATACCTTTGTTGAAGGAATCCGATAAAAGGAGCCACTCCAGTTCCAGGTCCAATCATAATAACGGGCACTGATGGGTCAGAAGGAGGTCGAAAGGAGCAGTTGGGTCTCAAACTCACATGAATCTAAAGGGTCAGCAAGAATTACAAATCAATCAAAATAATGAGCATAATTACAACAGTGCTGCGGAGCCACTGCGGTCCCACCAATTCTAATAATTGATCTACTCGTTATTCTAAAACGCTCTAATGAGAAAATGTTCTGGATTTAACTGGAATCCATTGAGTCTGCAATTTCTTCCTTTTAATTAGCTACACAAACGCAACTGGTCCAAAGTGGATTGTTACAGCCTGTTACACTGAGGATATTTCAGAACAGAACACATGTAGTAAATAGTGTTTAAATCAAGGCAGACGCATTTCAGAGGAAGGAAGCTTTGAACTTCAAGCGGATCGAAATGCCTAATCAGCTGATGTGAGCGCTTAGAAATGACTGAACTAAGGCAGAGACCACAAAAGTACACAAAATACTAGAGTTTCTCTAGTAAAATAATTACCTTTGGTAGAGCCGGGCTACTGGAGGCTTCAGTCTGCACAGGGAAAACCAGGCTGGGATTGACAATGTCAAAAAGCCAGCCAGTGCATAAGCCTCGTCCGCCTGTGGGCCTCCCAGAGCATGCTGGGAACTCAACCACACTGAAGACAAAATGAAACTTTCCTGGATGCCTGAGAAGGGAACTGCAAAGAAGAGCCCAGAGAGGACGAGGCGAGGAAACAGAGAGAGAAGGACCAGAGGGTGTTTACATGAGGCATCAAGCAAACAGAAACACAACGAATGTTGAAAATAAAGAGTTTAACAGACAACTGAGAGGAAAAGACATTATTAACAATATGAACAGACAAGGCTTATCGTCTGTGCAAACAGTTTAAACCAAAAATAACAGCAGAATTCAAAATAGAAAATCAGCAACTCAGCTTCAATTCATTACATTTGTAAAGTTGTTCCATTTTAGTCTACTTTTCTTTATCTTATTTATTTAAAACAATTAATCATCCAATTCAACAGTAATTGTATCCATCCTAATTGATTTTTTTATAACAGGTATACATGATAATATATATTTTTTTTAAATCACATAGTGTCACTTTTAACCTCTCCAAAAAACAGGGTTGATGGTCATTTTGTAATTTTGCAGGAAAAAAAGCAAAGAAATTTAAGATGACAACATCCCAGGAAGATGCAAAGAGACTATTTCAGGGAAGGACTTATTACTCTAAACTATAACTGATATATGTGAAGAAAATAAACTCAGTCAAGATCTTTAGATGATGCTGACCTTCTATAGGAGACTATAATCAAGTGCGAAACAGCTGCTTTTCTGATGATTCAGTTATTGATTGAAAAAGCTTCGCCTGATAGATAATGGATGCCTCATCAGTCAGAGTTAAAAGCAACATTTTCATATCTTTCTCCTTTGAAAAGTCTTTAAAAACAAAACTTCTGGACATATTATGTAAAGGATAAATATTTTGCAGATACAAGAAACAGATTTTGGACCAACGTTTGCTGGATATTTTTATTGTCAAGGTCACAGTGAGCACTGCTAAAGTAAATATAGAATAATTCAGTATGAATAGTAAAAATATTAAAATCAGGAAAACGTTACAAGAAGAGAAAATCTTAATATCTAAAAGTGATTAACTTTCTAATGAAAAATAGCATTTTCTTATTGTTTCTATCCCATCTTATTTCTTTGAACTCTCAGTTCAAAACCTTAGCATCAAAATAACTGAAACCCTTATTCATAATTTACAGGTTACTTTAATGAGTTTCTGCAAAACCTTAAAAAAATAGAATACCTAGGGTTTTATAGGAACTGTGTTTACCTGGGGATTGGGGAATTTGTTAAATAAGGGCCAAGCGGAATCAGAGGTGTCGGGGTTTTAAACACTTGAAGGTTCTTTTACTACAAATAAATGATATATAAATTAATTAATCTTATATATATATGGAATTTAACAGGGGGTGTTTTTTTTCCACCAGGACTTTTTAATATTTTTTCATTAATTCTATGCATATATTACTAAAATACAGAAAGTTTACCTACAACATCTACACATAACGGTGAAGGTTTTTGCTTGCCTGGCTACAGTAAATGTGTTTTCAACCCCACTGCTGGTTACAGCACTCTTGTGCTCCTCTCATCCTTCACTTTCCAGTTCCTGTGGGCCACTGGAGACCTCTATTGACCAAGGCATCAATAATGCAAGTCTCTAATGTCTGCACAGCATCTGATAAACTACCGCCACCCTCTCTCCTGTCCATTCTCCACCTGGCCACACAAACACACATGCATGAATACGCAGCTAGAGCGAGGGAATAATGAGAGCAGTTGGGAAGTTCTGACATCGCCTTAGATGCTGCTGTTCCACATGAGCTTTAAAGCAGGCCTAATAGGCACTAGCTTAAAAGGACAGGCAAATCAATGAGGAGCTAAGTGAGGCTAAAAAGAAGGAATGCTCGACCTATTTAAGCCAAGCACCACTAGCTAAAGGCTATGCAATATTTAAAGTCCAGTCATTTGTGTAGTTTCATTCCATCACAATGATTACAAAGGGGAAAAAACTCAGAGGAATACAGGAACTGAAAAGGAGAATCTGTAACAAACTTTAGTCTGAAGCAGACGTATATATGCTTTCTTAAAGAATGTCAAAAATAACACATTTATTTCCAAAGATTCTCAATTGATATCCGACTGACTTAAACGTTAGTTAATTTTCCAAACTGAGCAATGAATATAGCAGCAAAACTATTCCTGTGTAATCATACGATTGCTTCACAATAGCTGTAGCTTATCAAAGGAAAGAAAATAACCAAGCTATAGTTCTTTTCTTGTTAATAAATCCCTAAAATGTGTGACTTTCATTAATATTCACTGAAATGTATTATAATACTCCAAAATTAAGTTCAAAGAAACCAAACAGTTGAGTCCAGTTTCAATTGAATGCAAATTAAAAATACTTGCCAAAGTACCGAAAGGGAAATAATTGTTTTAACTGTTATTTTGAAACCCATGCATACTTTTTCCTTCAATTCATGACACCTTTGATGTGCTTTGTGTTGTTTTGTCATAAAAAACTTAAAAAAATATACTAAAGGTCCCATATAAAGCATTTTATAACTGTCATATATGTCCTGAAGTCTCTGGTTCGCAAATGCACTAATAGTCAAAATGCTTTGTATCAAAATAATGCCCTTTATGAGGTTATTTTTGGGGGAAAAAACACCTTTTTTTGTAAATCTGGCTTCATTTCAGTGTATTTTTATTATAGTGTTAATGTAAAAGAGCCTAATAATAATAGATAAACATAAGGATTTATTGTCCATTAATAATTCACATAAATATGCGAAATCAAAAAGGTTGAAGGGACCAAATGTTTAAACTCTGTTTCATAAAATACCACAGCTGCTACAGGGACGCCTAATTTTCCTGGTTCGGGCGACTTGAAAATATCAATTGGAAATGAGAAGAAATAAGCAATCCCCCCTGGTTTATCAAAGCAAAATAAGACACACATTTATGGAAATGTTTTGTTTCAGATAATAAAAGTGGGTGTCATAGCAGAAAACTGCATGAAAACACAAAGAACCTGTTTTTGTCGTCCACTCACCTCGCTGCTGAATAAGGCCTGGGCTGCAGTTTCGGCAAAAGCTCTGAAAGGCAAGCAAAAATGTCAATCATCTTGTTGTCGGAGCTAAGATCTTGTTACACCCATGACAGAGCAGAGGGAAGGTGGGAAAAAGAGATATGTGAAAGTCACCGTGGTCCACCGAGACATCCTGCCTATACCAATCTATCCTAAGTCCCCCCCCTCCCTCCACGCAGGTTACAGTCTTGTTTCTGGGACACACTTCTATATTTATTAAAATTACAAACTCAGGGTTATGGAATCCCAAGCGTCCAGATGTGGAGCCAGTAGGAAACAGATTGCTTATGCAGAGCTTATTTCCATGCCAGCCATGAAGGTGCCCTCTTTAGGGTAATGCGCGTGACGAGGTGCCGGAGAAATCAGGAAAAGTATGAGATATTTCTGACCCCATAGCAACAGCTCAGTGACCAGCGCTGCTCATTAGACACAGGAGAAGGCGGCGGATTGAGAGTTATGTGATGCGAAGCCTATGCGCTCCTCACGTTTTATTTGGATCTGCATGACGGATGAAGAAAGAATAAGTAAATTTGCTCCATATGCACCAGCTGAGGTTTTACAATAACACATTTTTCTGCTAAATTGCTCACAAAGACATAACAGCTGGACTGATTCTGTTCTCTCCTCTTTTTCTAGATCCATCTGACATCTAGATGGCTCAAAGAGCGCCCCAGAAGCAGCTCTGCAGGTTTACATCCATTTGTCTCTTTGACTAAATATCTGTTGTGTAAAAAAAACAAGATTTAAGAAGCAAAATAGAAGAGAAAGCTCTCAGTATGTCTATGCTAACAATCAAAACACATGTGTTTAAGATTAGAAGACTGATGACATTTGAGTTCATGAAAAGGAAGGAACATGGATATGTCAAAGTAGGAGGAGGTTTGAGATTTTAACATTTCAGCTGAAACTGTCAGCAAAGTTGGTAAAGTTCCTGCAGAGACAGATATGAAAGCAATAGATTTCACTGGATTAAAAAGCCAACTAAATCATCCTGGACAGATACTGATCTCTTTTAAAAATCTATGCAGGGTGGATAAGACACTACGGTGATCGAAGCTTTTTGTTCTGGAACAAAAAGAAAAAGTCTAAATGCACAGAGAAGCTACCGCTTATCTACAAAAAGTTGCTGGTCTTGCTTCTTCTTCTGTAATCAATGTGGTTTTTCACCGCTGAAGCAAATCTAAGGGAATCAGTTTTCTATAAAATGTTCCGAAATAATTAGGGATAAGCCAAAGCACGATGGATTTTTAAAAATCCGATGACATTTTTACGACATAAATAACAAAGTGCAGTGAAAGTAGGCTTATAAGTCATAGAAATGTTCCAATCTTGTTTTATATCCCAAAAGTTGAATGTATTTGAGGAGGGTTTAATGTGAATTGTGAACTGGAGGGAAAATTTTAACTTTTAATAACAAAATACAAAAAAAAAAATGCTTGGGGTGCAGTCTTTACCTTGAAAAATTTTGGTGCAATTATAGCTGCACCTATTTTGAGGCATTTCTCTTGCAGCCTTCTGCTGTTACCCTTCAGGAGAGCACCTGTGAAACTGAACCTTCCTAACACATTAAAATACTTCATCTAAATCATAGAAAGTCTGATTGTAAGAATAATGATTAACTGTTATTGATATTTTGTTATTTACTGTTATCAGAGTAAATGTGGCTGAATTGAAATGCACACTATACTTTATCTACAAAAAAATGAAAACAAGATGTCCTCCTCTTTCCACTTCATAAAGGTTTCAAAGGTAATGAATAATTTTGCAAGGCACTGTGAGTGTGCTGACAAATCCTGATGTTTTTGGACAACATTTCTCACCCTATCCTTTCCATCAGTGGAAGCCTGCATCTCTTCATCAGAAGGTACATCATGTACCTTAAGACAATCCCTTCCACCTGCGCAGCGCTCCACTGGCTGCCTTCCTGTCACTGGGTGACAGGACGTATGTGAAGCAGAACAAAATCCATCCATCATTTTTGCTTTGCTGCAACATGATGATACAGCTCTTCCATTCCAAAAACATCTATGTAGAAAAAAAATTTAAATAAGCAGCTCCAGGGCATATTTCAAATTATCCACTTGAAAGAAAACTGGGGGGGAAAAAAGGATTTCATCCAAGAGATTTTGTCCAATAATACGCAGCTATGTTTCTGAAATGATAATTTCTTAGGCGGATCATCGATCACAGTGCACAGCAAAGTAATCTATTCTTTAACTAAAGCGTGTCTGTGATGCAATTCTTATGCAAAAGTACCTTTTTTATGGATTAAAAAATGAGTCAGCAATGAGGTTTATAGTAAAAGTATAAACTTTTAGTAAATTATAAATCTTTTTTTTGGCTGCATGTGAAATTAGGGAGTTAAAAAAATAAATTATCTTGAAATCAAATTTGAAAACCTCACCATCTCTAAGCTCATGGTTTCCATAAAACAAAAAAACATACAAAGGAAAAATGACAATGGCATTTTATTATGTCTTATGGGTTTTGCACCTTTGTCACACTTTAATAGTAAATCTAGTCCAGATTATCCCTTAATTCAATTAAAATAAAATATATTTATTGATCAAGAGACAAAAGCTTCAACAACTGTGATTAAAGGTCTGCAATCAATGACAAAAATCCTGTTCCATCACTGTGTAGAAATTCTGACTCAATCTTCATTTCAGAACTTTAAAAAATCAGGTTTAATTTGTGGGTTTCTGAGCAGGAACAGCCTGCTGAAGGTCGACCCATTCTGCTTCTTTCTGCATGTCTGCTTCTGTATCCTTGAACCCCAGACGGCCTCGGCAGATGGCCGCTCACACTGAGCCTGGTTCTGCTGGAGGTTTCTTTCTTTTAAAAGATAGTTTTACTCTCCACTGTCACAACAAGCATGCTTGGTTTGAGGGATTGCTGTAGAGTCGATAAGTCGATTCAATCAACAGTTTCTTTCCTTAGATAGAAAACTTTTGATCAATTTGACTGTATGATCTGGTTGAAAGGTCTCTGTAAAGTGTTTTGAGATGATGTGTTGTGAATTGGCACTATATAAATAAACTGAAATGAATTGCTAGGTCATCCAGCTTCTGGCTCAGGCAGCCTCAGACCAGCATACTTTTGTCTGCCGCAGAATGTAGTGAAAGCTAAACGTTCCACCTTAGTCTGGAGAGTCCATAAAATATTTTCTCCAGCCTTGAGGTCATTGAGATGTTTTTAGTCAAATATAAACAGGTCTTACTTCCCTTTGAAACCCTCCTATAGATGCTGTATTTGCATTTAAAAACATTTGGTTTCTTATTGTTCATTCATGAACTCTGACCTTAAACAAACAGCAATGCTATCCAGGGGGCTTTAGTTTCTGGGTTCCTTTATGACCTCCTGGAGTGGCTTTATGACTCCTGCTTTGACAATAGATACACTCTTGGAGTGATTGTGGTCAGCTGGTCACTCCTGGGAAGGTTTCCCATTGTTCCATGTTTTCTCAAATTTGGCATGCCTGATTATGTTTAGCAATCAGGTTTAGTTCTACACTTCTTCTTTCGACTTTGCAAACTCACAAATACCCTGAGAATTCAGCTTGGAGTCAAGCTGATGTTTTCTCTGTTTGTGTATAATGGTTCTTCTAGTGGTTCTCTAGAGTCTTGGAAATGGTAGAGTAGCTTTTTCTGCAATAATAGAGGCTTTGCTAATATAAAAGCTATTTTAAGGTTTTATTTCTCATCTATTCTTTAATCTCTTTAGTCTGAGAAGTAAGATGTAGGTTGTCTTTTTTTTATGTTTTAGGTTCTATATGAGTTATTTCTCAAATCTACCTGACAGTAAATAAATAGGCATGACTTCTTTGAAAAAAATAACTTGGTTGATCATCATGAATTTAGAAATTAAGAAGGGTAATAGTTGCATGATGGTTACAGGTTGGTTTGCATGGCTTTAACTGAATAATCACAATTTTTTTTAAATCAAATTTTACTCCGGCCTGATTATAAAATGTGTTTGATTATCTAAAAGAATAAAGTATGAAATAATAGAAAAATGTAGAGGAGGATATCTTATTACACAGACCTTTAATTAGGCCTGATTTGCATTTCAAGCTTAAAAGAAATTGCATTAAAACAGCGTTATTTCAACTAAAGAACAATCAGGACCCTAAGGATTATATCTAACACTCTCCAAACAATGGATCATATAACAAGAGAACGAAAGCTCTAAGTGGTAGAAGACTAGCTCAAATTATACCCTAGGTTTATGTCTACATTCAACATGAAACAGGATATAGTCTTCTGGGGTTAAATACATCCCCCCCGATATTTACAGTCAGTGAACAACATCAGCAAACACCTGCCCTTCGATGGAGGTAATGAAGCAGGAGAAGCGGAAAAACTGCAGAGGTGCGTTTTGCCGGTGACACTCCAAGCCAGATTTGACCATTACCCTTTGCTCCGGACAGATATTGAGCTTTTTTTTTTTTTTTTGTCCTTCCAAAGCTCCAAGGCACATCCGCAAAACCGGCGTTAACAGCTGTTACCCTGCGGGGGCTAGAACGCCACATTTCTCACATGGGCGAGATGTCCGGATAGACAGTTTCTGCATCAGTTCACCACTGGAAGGGAGTAAAAATAAAAAAAAGAAGAAGGTGCTGGGTTTGGCAAAATTGGCCTGAAATATCTGACATTGAGAGTAGGTCCAAAGCTTTGACACAGCTGATTTGGAGGACGACAACTTGTTTATGTGAAGCTGAAGCTAACTTAAATTAACTGTCTGGTAAGTTCCAGTCAAAGCTCATCAGGATCTGCACGGAATGATCAGCCAACTATTTTACTGAGCTGAAGGAAAATGTTAGCGTTAAACCAACAGCTGGCTCCATGAAAAACAAGACAGGATAAAATGATTATCACCGAGGTAGATAAATGGTAAACCTTGAAATATACTTAGAAATTATTGACTAAACTTTATTGGGCCTGAAGGACATATAAAGGGGGAAAAAAATAAGTAGTCCTCCAAATTACAATATGTGACTGCTGTGATAAAAAGCTTTGACAATAAACACTTCATACTTTCTGACTGCACACAGAAAGCTTCTTTGATTGGGTTACAGTGACCCCTAGTGGATAAAATGAACTATGGCAGAAAAAAAGACTAACATTCATGGCTTTCTTAACCTGAACAGAAAGACCTGATTAAATATAATAAACCTGATGAAAATTTAATAGTGTAATATATGGAGGCCTTCTGTTCATCAAATATTCATTTACATATATTATAGAGAGCAAAATGAAAAATATTATCCATGGTATTTGCTTGTGCTGTGGTTGCTTGGATCGATACAAAGCTCACTGCTATGGATTATATGACAGAACATATAAGGTAAACAAGTACAGGAAAAGAAAATGTGACCGGAAGGGCTTGTCTTTCCGTACCCTGTTAGGCAAAATGTCAAATTCAAATAGTTTTTAATTTTGTTTTTTAATTTCACAATTACAATGCAAAACTATTATAGCAGACCACTTCAGTGGATTTTGAGGAATTAGGGTCCATTTCGTGGTTAGATTAGCAAAAGAATTTGTTATTTGTCCTCAGTAACAATAAGTGTGTACGGAGAGGTCACTTTTCAGCCTGTGATAGTGGTGCATTTCAGGAACTGGTTCACAAAGAAAAAAAAGCAATGGAAATTGGTGACTTGCTAAATCTGATAGTTATAACTTTAGAACTTTGAAATAATTGGTGGAACATGGAGGGATGTGGAGTTTCTCCAGGGCAATGATCCAAACAACAGCAAAATAGACTTTTGAATGGGTTGAACTGTCAAAAAAAGATCTACTAAGCTGTAAAAGCCAGATCCTAAGCTGCAAACAATCAGAAACATTTCCCTAAGACCACAATACCAACTAAAAACTGGAAATGAAAGTTATCGATTGGTTAATTCATCTAAAGTTGAATGATCTTATCGATTAATAAGCACACATTTTCTCTTGTAGGAAGAGGATCTTTCTTTAACATAAGGAGCTAAATATTTTATGTAGTACATCAGATCGTAAAAATGTATTGTGCGTTAATTAAATACTGACTGATAAACAAAAACTTTTCTTACACCTTATTAAACATATGTATTAGATAGAACAGAACAGGAACCTATTGGACTACTAAAAAAGGATGAATGAAATATGTAAAACAATTAATGATATCCAGTGTATTGAAATGAAAACCCCTCATTAAAAGACTGGTATGACAGGTAAGACTATTTTCCACTTTGTTTCAATAAAGTAGACGCTAACTGCGATTTAGCCTTCTGTGTTTAGTGTCTTCTGGCATTCAATGCAGTAAGAGAGTGTGTGCTGTTAGCAGTGCTTTGAATGGGGGGCTCTAGTTACTCTCAGAGGAATGTTGAAACGTGGTTCTATGAGGTGCGTTTACTTGCTAAAGCCTCCTCTTTCTACCATGATTATTGCCAGAAAGTCTTATTCTATCATGTTACAAATGTTTTGTTTGTTAATACATTATCAGCTTCCCAGAGACGTTACGCTGCCCCACCATGCAGCATGGCTCAATGGCAGCTATTAAGGTGATGACCTCCGCAGTTTATTTCGTCCTTATATTTAAACACAAAATAACATAAATTTAATTCTGCATCCCTGTTATCATGAAACTGTAAATAATCCCAGAATTAATGCTGGATTGATTTATGCTTCCACTCTGGCATTACTTCTCTTGCAAATAAAATGGAGGCTCTGCTTAAGAATGATTTGTATCATTTTGTACTACCAGAGAATGTATTCCTATGATGTGAACACAAATTTAAATGCATATGGAAATACATGAGCAACCAGCACCATGTCTGACCTATGAGGAGGCTGAGAGGAGGCGAGCAGGACGGGAAGGCTGCTAAGAGCTCCAGGACGCTCAGGCTTGGATCTCGTACAAAGAGGTTGTAGTCTGCAGCCCCTTGCTTACTGCAGAGCTCCTGCAGTCTCCTCTTCTGGGCGCTGTCTGATGTATGCTCCACTAAGGCACGCAGAAAAGCCTTCAGAAAGACACAAAACAGATGTGATTTTACCCAAGGCTGCTCCGCTGCTCCATCAGCCATGGTAGCCATTACTGTAACACTTTATCCTTAGTGAAGGCTGAATCCACAGGAGAAAATGAAGCTCTATTTAATGATACAAAAGACTGGCATTATATACCCCACAAAAAAAAAAAAAGACTACCAGCTTAATTCTGGCATAGTTATGAAAGACAGTTTAATAACCGAGGTGCTAATCCAGCCAATATAAAATGTCATTAAACTTAAAAGATAATTTTGCAGGCCATTCGAGCCAGAGGCAAGCTTTTAATGCCCAAATTCATCAGAGCCTATTACTGCAATCAGGTACTGAGTTCCACTTGCAAACGGAAAGCTGAAGTTTGAATTTAAATACCAGTTAAATCATAAAAAAAATTTTAAAATTGGAGGCTTTGAAGACATTAAAGATCATAATTGAGAAAAAAAAACACATTTGGGTGTAATAATCCAACTTTACTCAGCCACTGGTCAAATTACAATATCATATAATATGAAAAAACATTTAAATAAAGAGAACCACATGAAAAAAAAAAATGTTCATAGGGTTTAGAGTCATTATCTTTGTGGAAATCCAGGAAAACATTAATTTTAACAGATTTTTTCTTCTAAATAAATCACACAGCATGGAAAATGAAGCTGAAATGCATATTACCATCGCAGCAACCAGCTCCATTCACACATTTTTTTGTTGCTATGTGATTCTTGAGCTGCAGAACTGAATATATCTTCTGTTAAACAAGTCTTTCGTTACCTGAGCAGCGCAATACAACGCACAAAAACAAGCTTAGAGTTTTTAACGGTACATTCCTCACAGGGAAGATAAACCTGGGTTCTCATCAGTTGTGTTTGTCGCACTTCAGTCATTTTGCTTCTTTCGGTTTTTGCATTGACTGTAGATTTGGTTACATTTTTGGGAGGCAATCGCCTTAACCTTTGACATATTCCTCCAGTTGATAATTTTAATATATCAGTTTTTTTTCTACACATAAACATATAAATAATAATTTCCCAAGAGATGAAAAAAATCAAATAGTGAAAAAAATACATTAATGAAAGTAAAAAGTATTCAATCTATTTAAAAAAACAGACCACGACTACAGGAAGGTGTTAGTAGATCAGAGACAGTCCTCTCCTAAGTCTGGCAACAAAAAGGGTGGAATTCATGCAGAAGACATCCTCTGTCCTTAAAAGTTTGATGAATATTTTAACTTCAGCCCCAGACTCTCTGAACTCAGCCTTCAGTTAGCTAATCAACTCTTGAACACCTGTATTTTTTGTCAGGAACAAGAAAGCAGGATCTACATGACATTACATTACCTGCCCGTACACTAAGCCCTGATCTTTAAAGAATCTAAATTTGTTCGATCTGTAGTTATAAAGTTAAAAACAACACATAAAAAAGAAACTAACTGGATGAAAACATAAATATTTCCTGCAAGACGTCTCCTGTCCTACTCTGCCTTTATTATGTGACTTCTGGCCCTCAGGGATATAGATTCAGCTGCTGACAGGGAACACCTAAACTCAATGCTGTCTCTTTTAACCTGGCTGCTCTTCATACATGAGGCTATCCTTTTTCTCTCATTGCGGGGAATCAAACTATTTCTTTTGACTTGTTTAGATTTGTTGGTTAAATATTAGACAAAGCTTTCATACTCACTTTTTCATAAAAATCAACACCAAACTACTCATATCCATTTTTTTAATCATTATTTGTTAATTGATTCTTTACCCTTAACCTCAGTAAAATTAGTGAAAAGACCTGTGAACGCATGCATGCTCAAATTAAACTGAGCCAAAATGCAGATCAACCTTGGAGACTACAGCACCTTCTTAGGAACGCTCCTGATCTCAAGGCACCAAGTGAGCAGCAACAGCAGAGAAATGCTCTGAGGGAAGTGTGATGGAACCTGAGCACCTATAAGAAGGGAATACATCATTTCAATGAAGAGAAAACTTTATGAAAAGCAAACACAAAAAACATGCAGTTTGGTTTATCTTGTCAACATTCAGGTATTAATCTTTAAACCAGAAAAAAAACAACACAGTTTTGATCTTGCCTTTTTTCTTTGTATCCTCCCTTAGAGTAATCTGAACGCGATGGTTCTGTTGGGACTGGAGGCCCAGTCTGTGCAGCAGTTGGTCCACCTCTTCAGCCCTGTTTGGGCAGAAAATGTCAAGGGAATCTCCAGGTTGATAGTTCATGGATGGGCAACCCTGGTGACGAAAACGGGACACATTTCAAGAACCTGTGAGGCTTAGTCAGATCAGATAAACACAATCCAGCTTCATGTCTTTGGTAAACACATACAAATGGTCTTAAAGGCCTTAACCCACCAGTGGTTTTTTGTGAGGCTAAAAGGGGATCACTACTTTACTTTATCTGTTTTCTGTCCTCCTGAACTCCTATAATGGGCATTCTTTTTTAATGTTTCATTCTTTGTTTTTGCACCAGTCTGTCCCGCTTGCTATATATGCTCGGTGCGACTCAGTGCGATTAACAGATTTATTTCATATTTTCCTAAAAAGCGGATGTGTTTTACTTTGTAACTGTGTCTCTCTTCCCGTCAGACCTATAAAATTGCCACTGGATTGTTGCGTAGTCCAACTAAAATAGACCTGGGGGCTTTCTCATTCGCAACACAACCCCTCTTGCAGGAAATCATGTCGGGTGCGATGATCCCCATTGACTTTCATTGAGCTCTAAATGCCACAACCTCGTCCAACACGGTTTTCTGTCAGATCGGATGCAAAATCAGTGTGTTCTGGCATTAAAGTAACACTTAAAAAATTGAAAAAGTTCATAGTGTTTTAGGGCATTCATTCACAGTGAGGGAAAAAAGAAACTCTCTCTCTCTCTCTCTCTCTCTCTCTCTCTCTCTCTCTCTCTCTCTCTCTATATATATATATATATATAATAAGCATGTGTTAATGTGAGGCAGATGAAGGTCGGTTTTTAGAAGTAAAGAAATTACCACAAAACCACAGAGTGAAACGTGTCAAACTGGAACGATTGCAAACAAAGCTGGGCAAGGACTCCATTTAATTTCACACCACAGACAAAACATTAAGGAAGGTAAAAAAAAAAAAAAGCCTGGTTGAAGGAGAACTGCCGCTAAGAGCAGCGTCTTAGAACCACTTTCTAACTTAATTAGGTCTGCAACAAAAGGCTTCTTCCTTTTTCCATCATAACTATAAACATTTAGTTTTATAAACTCTCCTGAGAGTGTCCTACTAATACGAGAGTAAAGTTGAGCTTTTCGGCAACAAACACCTCAAAGTTTAATGTGAAAAAAGACGAGTTCCAAAGAAAAGCAGCTCTAGTTTTATTTGAATATAATAATATTTATTATTCAGATATTTCTTGCAGGGCTTTGAGCAGAAACTGAAGATCTTTAACTGATTTTCTTTCCATGATCTCTATGTGAAAACAGTTCAAGGTCTTTTTTCATGTTGAGTGGTATGAAAGCCTGCATAACAAGATTACAGAGGGGATTATTAATGGCAACTGAACTTGAATAATATCCAGTAGGATGATCAAAATTGGATGGCAACAAGATTGACTTTTCCTCATTGTCATCTCATTCCCTGGAGCTAAAGAGAAACCAGTGAGGTGAGCCGATGGAATAAGATGAGACTCTGTGAGAGATGGGGAGTTGATTAATAAATTAAGTTGTCATGATCTTGGCGCTGATCACTGGCTTGATTGTTCATTCCATTCACCTGTCTAGCTCCGCCCAGTTTCCCATCACCTTTGTTTATCATCACCTGTGTCACCTGCTTCAGTCTCTATTTAACCTGCTTGCTCCCAGTCATCAGTGCCAGATTATTTGAGCCTTTGGTGAGACTTCTCTAGCGTACTCATTTGTGTTCTGATTGCCTGATCCTGACCCATTCTGCCTTTGGACCTCTGAGCCAGCCTGTTCCTGTTCTGATCTGTTTTTTTGCCTGACCTGTCCTCAAACTCCTGTTGGATTCTGCCTGTTGACTGAACCTGGATCTGCTTCCTGACATTGACCTGAATTTCCCTTTGGTGACTCTTTGGATCTCTGATCTTCTGGCTCAGACTCCTGTGAACCTCTTCGACACCGGCTATGGCTTCGCTTTCTAGGTTATCCGGCTTCCTTTGGATCTGATCTTTTGCTTGTTTCACGTCCTCTCGTACTACAGTGTCTGGGACTCTATGAGCGGCGCCCACCCCTTCTTATTGGACTAAACCTCATTCTCTGGCCCGGACTAAGCTATAAAACCAGGTTAGTGACTCACATGTTCGTAATCATCCTCCGTCAGATTAACATGGTCACTAACCTGACTTTTCCTCCTACAGAGGTTCCTGCCTTGGACGTCCTTGCTGTAACTGCAGATCCGCCGTTTCTTAATAAATGCTTTGAATTATCCGACTGTCTGTCTTGCCTTGAATACTGGGTACCCTGTTCTGCGCCTTGACAGAACTCTATGCTTAGCATATAAAGATGCTTACAGAAATATCCAGTTCCAGCAGAATGGCCGTCTTCACTGAATCTCCTTTGCTCAGCTGAACCGCCTTGGAGATCGGCACCTGATGAAGAGTCTCCCTGTGCAATGGTTCAAAAGTCTGAAAAAAAAAGATATTTATTGGATGAAGAGTGAACTACAGCAAACATTCTTGTCTTTTCGTCTTTTAAAAAGCCTTCACCTGTTCCACAACATCCGCCTCCTGAAAGGTAACCTGTAAGAACGGTGGAGATAGAGCAGGAACATTCAGAGAGGACTCAGAGAGCGGCGGCACAGAGCGCTGCAGTGAGGCTACCAGGGAAACATGCGGGGCAGATGAGGTAGATTCGGATGGTAAACCAGTGCTCCCGGTAGAAGCTGGCCTAACACCAGCAACCTTCAACGGAGAAGCATGTGAGTCCAGCTCAGACTTCTGTTTATCAGTGATGCTCAGGCGCTTTAACTGGACGTCCAATGGGGACGAGTCCGGGATGTCTTTAGCAGAATCCTCTACATTCTCCTTTAGCTGAGTCGTCCCGTCAGAAGCCATATTTGATAAGGCTCCTTTAATAGCTTTCCACAGTCCTTCAAGCCAAGGGTCAATAACCAGCTCCAACCTTAGAGGAAAAAAATCAGGGGGGATTATCAATCAACGGCAGCATAAAGAAGAGACAAGTTATCAAAGCTGACTCCTACATACCCTACGCCGTCATCAGCGTACCCCGTCTGATAAAACTGTTTGGCTCCCAGTTCCTGAAGACGACGTTCGATTGTCTTGCCACAGTTGCAGAAATTTGCATAATTTGTGTCTCCTAAAGCTGAGAAAAACAGAGACCAACTGATGATGCTCCAGAAAAACTACAGAAAGCTTTGCCAATTTTTGCAAAACTATGAAGAGTGGCGTTATCATTACCTAAAAGAGTATATAAAAGGTGTTTATAGTGGTCAGGGGAGAGGGTCCTCTTCTTGATGCGCTTCACAAACTGGAGGGCATTGTCTGGAGGGTCCCCATCTCCAGTGGTGGACACAACGAATACCACTGGGGCTCTCTCCTTGTCCAAATTGTACTGAAACCAGACATACTGTAAAATGTCTAACTGTTTGTGGGATTTCATTACCTCCTTAAATTCTTCTTGTTTGCAGAGAATCATGCAGTAGAGCACAGAGTATTAGCTGGTACCTTCTCACTCTGGTTCAGGCAGCACAGATCAGCAACCAGCCCGTGCTCCTCAGCCTCCTCAGCAATGCCCTCGGCTATGGACTGAGCTTGACCCTTCTGAGACCCGTACAACACGACAAAACGAGGTTTCTCCTCAGAAGGCATGCTAGAAAAGAAAGGAAAAGGAAACATGCATATAAACACATTAAATGAATTCCCGACAGCCAGGTTTACTGCCTGGTTTTGACTAGTTAGCTTGTCAATAAAGATTTACACAACATTGTCAAAATAAGCACTTAAAGGATAAAGGAAATGAGAATCAACACCTGTTTGTCAGAAAGGTGTTTCTGTTTTAGCTTTAATAATAATTGAACTTTATTGATCACAGTGGAGAAATTCACCTCTGTATTTGACCCATCCCCTTGGGGAGCAGTGGGCTGTCATTGTGTGGCGCCTGAGGAGCAGTGTGGGGTTAAGGGTCTTGCTCAGGGACCCAGTGTGAAGGCTGTGGGGATCAAACTGGGTACTTGCAACCTTCTCAGAGCACAAGAGCACTGCTCTAACCACTAGGACACCACCCTCCTTTGTGTAGAAAACCTCACTAAGTCACCTTTAATTTGACTTAAAAAGCTAGACATAAGAAGAAGTGTACGTATAAACAGGGCATTCATCTTAGAATGGGCAATTAAAATCCTTTAAAGAAAAGAGAACAAATAAATAAGCACTGAAGAGGAAGCCATTAAAATGACATAAAACGTTACAACTACATTTCAATGTGATAGACCAACATAAAGTAGTACATAATGGAAAGTTGGAGTGATAATTTAAAAAATAGCTGACTAGTGTGGCATGCATT